AAGTTTTTAGTAAAGATCAAAAATGAAAATCCTCGAACTTTTGTGCTTATAATTATAATTTTTAACTGTAAATTTATTATGAAGAATCTTTTTCAACTGGAACAACAATGAAACTTTTAATAATACAGTCAATATATCAACCGATTCAATATGATTGTGGCAAGAATTTTCAATAGTTGAACCCAATATAATACTTTATCCAAACGATTATCAATTTTATACAAAATATTGTCTCGAAGTAGAAAACCGCCTTCATTTATGCGTTCAATTCAAATAAAGTAATTCATATCACTAATTAAAATAATACCACAATCTGAAGGGTAACCTAAATCCAGAATATACATATCACAGAAATTTTATATTGTACAATTTTGATAATGAACTCTGGTAAAGAGAGTTTGCATTGTTTTACTTTGATTGATGAAAAATTAAATTTCAAATCAATTTAAAATCAAAAATTCTATTAAAATATTCGTATCCAGAGAAATTCATTTATAGTTATCTTGATGAATTCCAAGTTCTCGACATAGCGAAGGAGTTTGTCCAAGATGAATCTGGAAACGAATGTGCTTAATAAATATTCAGAGGATGTCAGCTTTATAATTAACAATTTTAAAATTGTTTAAAATTGCATATATAGGACCCTGTAGCAAAAGGTGGCAATGTGGAGATCAGATGATCATGAGAAAATCATGATTTAAAATTATCATGTGATTCGCGATAAATTTTTAAAAAAAACGCATTTAACATCCCAAAAAATTTCTTGCAAGTAATTTTTTTTATATTTATTTTATTTATAATACGCAAAACATAAAACTTAAATTTTTATTTAAAAATTTGTCTTTATATTTTACATACCATTCACGCTTTGTATTTTTATAATTATTTGTTTTTATTTTATTTCTAAGATTTTGCCTTATCATATTCCATGTTTAATTATTTTATTTAATATAAACCTTATATTTTTAATAAAATAATCTTGAGCTTGTATTTATTTATCTTGCAATTATTTTATACTGAGTCTGGCAAGCACCAGGCACAGTATTAAACATAGTGCTCACGCTTATACTCAGCATTATGTTTAATGATACAGTGACTGACACATGCAAAACATTAATATTGAGCTTGATATAGACTGATTTCATCTGATACTAAAGTTGCCATAAACTGAAGCTGTTCTTGTTAAATTTAGTATAAACCAATTTATTTACGTAACTAACAAATTTGAATTTTCAATTTACCTTATTTTGAACTTTCTGGTTTAGAGCAGGTAATATCACGAAAGGGCAAGTCAACATAAGGTGCAATTTCTTTGTATAGTTCTTCTTGCCTTTTTAGAGAAAGTGGTCTGACTTTAATTGTAGAGGGTAAGGTGTTTGTGTTAAAAGGAAAAGAATGAATTGTAAAATTTTTGTAATCATCGTCAAGATCATCTTTGTAAAAAACGACTCTGGAATTTTGTGAATTAAAATAAAAGTGATGATATTTTTGAATACTGGGTAGTTTTTTAAATGCTTCAAAATAATTTTTAAAATCATAATATTGAAATCCTTCCCCATTCAAATAATATTGAGCAACATTAAAATCGATTAAAGTAGAACGATTGATAATTGGAACTACATTGTCAACAGTATTTATTTTACTTTTTCGGTAGAGAATTTTAATTAAACCAAAGCAACTATCACAAATAAATTTTTTATACCCAAGTATCATGAAATTCAGTTCAACTTCATAAATATTATGATCAATTAACCATGAATAAAAGAATAACGAATAGTTATTCTTATTTTGTCCTGTACAATTATCACACATGATTATTAATTTGCTTTCTCCATGATTGTATTTTTAAATTGTGTGCCAAACCAAACTTAAAGTACAATTTACACCTTTTCCTTGCTTACCGTCATCAGACATTTAAGCTTCATCAATTATATAATTCGTTTGTCATGTATGCGGAAAGTTACCAGTATTGCAAACTCTAAATAAATGCACCTTTTGACAATTTTTAAAATATAAAGGGCCTATTTGCTGAGGTGAGTAAGGGATTTGCACATTCTGCGCCTAGTCATATGTGATATAAAGATTTTAAAAGATACTTGAAAACTAACTTTGTTTGGATTACATTTTCCATCTTCAACTGCATTCTTAATATTATTATTATAATGGTCACATTCTTTTTGTGCACAATTCAAGTGAGCTATATAATTATTAGTAAGTTCTAATTTTTTTTTGTGCTGCATAGCAAGTTGAATATCCATTTTTAGTGTTTCACAAGTTTCGTGATCAGATTTTGGAAACATAAATTGAAGTGACGGTATTAAAATTTTCCAAATTTTAGTAAAGGTTATATCCATTTTTAGTGTTTCACAAGTTTCGTATAGATCAGATTTTGGAGACATAAATTGAAACGACGGTATTAAAATTTTCCAAATTTTAGTAAAGGTTGTTTCGGATATAACACAAACATCTTCTCTGTAGTTATCCTTGTAAACTTGTATATAATTAATAAAGTATACACTTAAATGATCCAATTCGTAACTCCGTGACTACACGATACCGTGAATCGAATTCACGATCGAGTTACTAGCCGTAGCATCACTAAAAGAAAAGAATAATAAAATTGTCAGTAAAAGCAAATATAAAGAGCCAAACTACCTCCTCAAAAGGATAAAAATATACTTGATAGCCAATTATTTTACTCTTTATTATATTAATTTAATTGACATCACGAACGTTGATGAACTTTAAATAATTGGGATTGTAATACGTATGTATGTACGTGTGTGTACATGCTCAATAACTGATATGTAAGCTTAATAAGTTTGTGCAACTTAATTGCATTAGTTTATTGAAATCTTGGATAATTTACGAAAATCATTGCTTAAATGAAATTACAATAAAAAAAAACAATTTTCGATGTTGTCTCTATTTAAGCTATTTAAGTTTACATTTTTTAGAGAGACATATGCTGCTAAACATAGAACAAACTATCTATCATGCTGATTAATGCAAAAAAGATGTTCTCACTTTCGATCTTCTTAGTATTTAGATTTGTCCTATTGTCGTAAAATATTATTTTTAAAACCTACATAAACTTTTTTCATTTGTCGTTAATAATCACCGGTTGTACAATTACTGAATTATAAAAGTGCAACTATATTTTATTTAATTTAAAAATAAATTATCAATATAGTTTTGACTATAAATATGTAAATATTTGCAAGACTTTTAAAAGTCATTTACATATAAAAATTGATTATTTACCAAATAAAACTTAATTGTTTTACTATTTGATGCAAGTGAGTACCCAATCCTTTATAAGTACAAGATTGATTTTATTGATATAAATTTATAGTAACGTAACTATTTCTAAATATAACTATGCTTGCGCTTTATTGATAACATTATTATATTTTTGGTTAATCAAGATTTGTCATCAAATCAAAACTTTATTTATTGTGAAAATTTGTTATTGATACTGAAATTTTGAAACAAAATATATTTTTTCTAATATCTGAATGTTTTAATGACCCAAATCTGATTAATAACGTAATACTGTAATATGGATATTTGTCATCAAGCTTAATTTCAGAACTTTATTTATTTGCTTAATTTTTTTGAAAGAAAATCATTACAGAATTATTATTGATTTTTTTAAAATTTTTAATTCAGATTCATTACTTTCTCTATTTCAAAATGTATATTAATGACACTTTTTTTCTTCGTTTTGCCCGTCGTGCTGTTTGGACTTTTTTTGTTTGCTATTATAACTTTCAAAATCAAGGGGTGTTAAGGTCTGACCAGTTTTTAGTTGACAAAAATTTTAAAAAAGTAATTATGGGTTCAGGTATCGTGAAATCAGATCATCGTGAAATTTGGGGTCATATGTATAATTTTTATAATTAATTACATAAAAACTAATGTAATTGTTGATTTCATTTAAGTAATGATTTTCTCTGAAAAAGATGGTATAGCATATGCATGCATCTGGATGTTATTAACTATTTCACGTTTATGATTAACGCGCGTCTAAATATGATTTAAAAGCATAGTTAATATTATTTTTTGATCAAGATTTGTCATCAAATTCATTGTGAAAATTTGTCTAATATCTTTATTAATAATGTAATATGGATATTTTGGAGATATTTGTCATCAAGCTTTTATTTATTTGTAGATAACGATATGGTATGATGTTTTTCTGCCCACTCAAATTTGTTTTGAACTCTTTTTACATAGTTAAAACATAGTTAAAAGGAGAAATAGATGCAAATCTATTTTATTAAACTAATCGCTACTGCATTATTGGGTTAGATGTCAATGATTGTTTACTGTAAAATAAGCTTATTTTTTTGATGCACGGTATAGCTTGTTCCTCTCTTATAATAACAATATAATAACAATATGCAGTATAGTATTTTTCTCTCTATAAATACGCACCTTTACCTTTCTTTTATCAGTGTGTATATTAAGAGGTTTGATAGGTAATTTTTTACTTATAGTACCAAATGTTGGTTCAACAAACTTTTTTTACGTGAGAATTCAATTTAGCATGACTTTTCAGAAACATTTGTCTACGTATATAGAATACAATACAGTATGATCCTAAGTTACCATTTATTTTTCAGCCAAATATTAGTCCGAAAGCATGAATGTTTAGATCTCTAAATAAAAAAAATAAAACAAAAAATAGGTATTTCTTCATAAAAATAACTCCTTACGATTATTATAATAGCAAATTTAACGTTAAAACAATAACCCCGTGTTTGTAAAATTTCTACTTGTCTTAAAATGGATTAATAAACGGTTTAACCAAATTCGTAATTCTATTAGGTTAATTCTATTAGGTTTTCAGTTTTCAACAGGAAAAACTCCACAATGAAATATCAAAGATATTGTTTAAACATGAAAAATTTTCAATACATATTTCAATATTATTTAATATAAAATGGTATCAAATTTATTATTTGCATTTTTGATTCAATCATCTTGTGATAATAATGGAAGAATTTTGCTCCATGTTTATAGTTTTCAAATCATCACTCATTTCAGAAAAAGGTCAGGAAAAAAGCCAAAAACAAAGACGAAAGAAAAACAAAGCACCACATCCTCCAAATTCTTTTATACTATATAGAAAACACCAACAATCCAAAATTAAGAAAAAACATAAAAACTTGACAAATGCTAATATCCAAGGTTGTCTCTAAAATGTGACAAAATGAATCCGAAGATGTAAAGTTTTAATTTGAAAAACTTGCAGATCAAATGAAGGTCAAACATCAAAATGCTTATCCCAACTATGAATATCGGCCAAAAAAAAAAACACAAAGGCATCCACACAGATTTAATGCCCTTCCTAATAAAAAAAGTAATTTACCTGATGAAGACATTACTCAAATAGCCAAATCTGCTATCAAATCTGCTATGTTGAATTCAAACCCTTCATATCTTCCTCAATTTATTACATCAGAAGTTTCTCAACCACCACCTTTATCACCACCTCCATCATTTATTCTAGAAGAAGAGTTTTTGAATTATTCTACAACTGCTGATTAAATTTTTTCACCTTATCTTGATTATATTGAACCATATAATTTGATTGAATTTAACTTTTTTGATTCCATGAATTAAAATTTTTAACAAGCCTAAATTATTTTAGCAATTTAATCAAAATCTTTATATACAGTGCAGTGTAGTATATTTTTATAAAGGTCTAAATACACACTAAAAGATTTTTGTTATCAAATTCAAATATCACATAAACGTCTTGTTAACAATAATTTTATTCTTGATAGCATTTATCATTATAAGCATATTAAATTTTTGTTTTATTAATATACGTGTTTTTGGACTTTGGGCTTAGATATCCTAGCAAATTGACCATTGAAATAAGTAAGGGTATTTAGTAAGACTTCTTTATTAAGAATTTTTGAGAAATATGGTTCAAAACTAAAACTGTTTATTGTTTGGTTCGTCAAACATTTTTTGGGTTCAGACTTCCAACATATTGGAAGTCTAAACCTGAAAACCGTCTGATGGCTAATTTAATTTAACAATTAAACTTTAATATTAAGGTTAGGTTTATCTTACTCCATTTGCAGACTTTTTTATCTTTCTGCATCTTTATATTAACCTAACATGAAAAAAATTGTGTTAAAAATTTTATATATGAAACATAAAAAACAAAAAAAATCTAAGAAAAACAAATATCTTGATCTAACAGAACAATATAAAAATAAAAATATGTAAATTCAATCTTAAATATTTTTATTTAAGAACTGAAAAGTTATCTTAATAAAATTTTGAGCCCAACATTTTTTAAAACCTCAATTTTGATCCGGAATTGTCTCAACTATCCCGTGTACTGCATTAGTTTTCTAGTAGAAATTTTACAATTTACTAACAGCCAGATTCTCTTCAAAAAAATACGCGCTTTTAAATATCCTTCTTTAACTAAACAGTAGCTCAATAGCAGACTTCTGATCTTGTTTTCTTATCTTATCAACTCCAATTCCATGCTATAAATAATATGCTAACCACCGGCCAGACCATTTAAATAAGTAGTATTCAATGCTAATTCACTAGTCAGAACACCTGTAGTCATATAAAAAATCGAAAAAAAAAATTGGTCAAAATCAAGCTATTGGAATAATTAGAAAGGTTTGTGAACAAAGAATTTGATTAATGTTCTTGTTAATGCTGAAAAATACAAAAGGTTTGCAAAAAAATCAATTTTTATATTATAAATTCTATAATAAATTAGAAAGTTTGAGTAAAAAAAATGTTTCTAAGTTAATTATAAATTAGTTAAGCCTAACTCATTTGTCCAAAATTTGAATTATTCAATTTGTTTTACAATTTATGTGAAAAACAATCAAATATTGTATTTTTGAACTCATATTTAAGAAGTTTAATTATTACTGACCTGTGATATGCCTTTCTTTATCAAAAAAAGAAATATTTTGTCTCAATATTGAAGCAAATGTTGCTGAGTGAACTCTGAGTATAAGTTTTTCACCAGAATATCCAAATGCAGTATCTTGAATAAAGTTGCAAATTAAAGTGCCCACTGCAATGACTAAAAACATGACTGACCAAAATTCAGCATCACGTTTTAGTTCATTATCAATTTTTGTAAACGATTGAAGAATATTTGAAAAGATAACAGCAAATATTAGATATATGCAGCCATTCACAATCAAAACCAATAAACCTATAAGAATAACTAAAATTTCTGGCTGACTAATTCTTAAAATCTTTTTGATTAGTTTCTATGTTGTATATTCATAATCATTTTTTATATTAGTTAAAATTGATGACGTAGATTCATATTTATATTCTTCAATAGTTTCACCTTCACTTTGAACAATAATTTTACCAACTTCAATATTTTGTTGAAGTTGTTGAACATTAAAAAGATTATAACATGTGCCACCTTTAGCTATTAGTTCAAAATGACTACCATATTCGATAACAGCTCCTTAATTCATTACAATAATTTTTGTAGCAGTGCGGATAGTAGACAATCGATGAGTAACAATAATAGTCTAATGAACAAAAGTTTTGGTTAAATTTTAAACCATGAAATATAGATCAGACAGTTAAAGCTAAAATGTGCTCCTTAATTAATAATTTTAACAAAAACAAATAAATAATGCTGGGTAAAATACGGTAAATATGCAAATGTCCACTTCAGCTTTCAAAACAAATATTTTTTAACTCACAGTTCTATTTTTAAAGGCTTTATTCAACGTGTCTTGAACAATTTTTTCACTTTGATCAAGAGCACTAGTAAAAAAGTTTTGATAAAAAATTTTTATTAGAATTATTTTTTATATAAATAATAAAATTCAGATAGCTGAAGATGAATTTGATAATGCAAAACATTAATATCTTGCTGCAAAAAAATCAATATATTCTTGCTGCAAAAAATTAACTTGATGCTGCAAAAAAGCAATATCTTGTTGCAAAAAAAAATATATTCTTGCAATAAACGAATTATTTAATGTTGCTTGCGTGTCTGATGATCATGCAAAAGCTTTTAAGATTCTTCAAAAAATTGAAAATGAAGGTGATAATCAGACTAAAAGTCAAATCAAAAATAAATTAAGAAAATGCTACCTTGGTGGTTTTGGCTGTGATCAAAATATCAATGAAGCACGAAAATTAATTAAAGAAGCCTCTGAACTTGGTTATTATCATGCTCGTGTTTGGGTTAAGACTTATAATTCATCTGCTGATTTTGGTGCAAGTATGGTTATCGAAGACAAGATGGTGTAAAATATCAATCAATTTTCACGTAACTGTTTGGAACAAACCAAAGTTAATTTCTGAATTTTATTAATGATAATAAATAAAAATTAAATTCTTTATTATCTAAAAAATGGTTTCTTTCTAAAAAAACGTAAAAATCAGAACAGGTTTAAGAAACATTCAGATGAATTGAATCACCAACTAAATAGTTAAAAGATTCAACTATTCAACTATAATTAATTAATTAGCATAAATTCTGTAATGTATGTTAATGTTGGCTGTTATCTGCAGCCTTTCCAATATCAGTATTTTAATAATACTGTAGTTAATGAATTAATTTACCAGAGTTACGAGCTAATCCTACCACATTTATGTTTACCAAAGTTTTGAGTTAACTCTACCAAAATTATATTTACAAGTTAAACGTTAACAGTTAATTGAATTCTACTAAATTTACGATTACCAGAATTATTAATTAAAATTCTACTTACATTATATTTACCAGATTACGAATTAATTATATGTCATAAATAATATTATTAAAAAAAAAAATAAAAAAATAAAAAATAACCGATCATCGGTTTTCAATCGTTGAAGGCGTGTGTCAGACCTTTGTCGAAAGGAGTTTCATTTTTCCATGAAAGAAACCCTCACAAAAAAAAAAAATTCGCACACGTTGTTATTATATCACATAAAATTTGCGTCAATCAATTCGAAATTAATAATTAAATTTACCAAAAACATAAAAATTATTTATTTTGATATAGAACGTTTTTGATAACTAGTTTTTTTTCATGTACTTTAATATTAAAATAATTCAATACACAAAGTAATTCAATTTTAAATTTATTCTTTTTTTCGTATCGTGATCATGTGCCAATACATTATTAATATAAATACGTCATCACTGTTATAACGAATCAATTCTACCAAATTTATGTTTACCAGAGTTACGAGCTAATTCTACCAACATTATGTTTACCAGAGTTTTGAGTTAACT